GCCTGCACGAATGCTGCGACCGCTTTGAAGTCTTCGCCGGCCTCTGGTGCCAGTGAAACAGTCTGCTCCACCACGCCAACCATTGAGCACGAAGCCTCTCTGTCACCTTGCCCCTTGCCGCTGGAGGAGTCGACCTCCTTCGTCGACGACGTCTTCTTCGACGTCTGCTTCTCCTTGCGCGGCTTCTCGTCCCGACTTTGGCGACCGTTGGCCGACCTTCCGCGGCCTCCCTTGTGGTCATCGTCGTCAGTGTCTTCTCGGTCGGGGCAGTCATAGGAGAGGTGGTCGGCGCTTCCGCAGACCCAGCACTCACGCCGTCGACCACCCTTGCCGCGACCACTGTCACGAGTTGATTTCGCCTGGTCGGCGTCCTTCGCCGACCTCCCACCTCCGCTACCACCTCCGCCAGACTTTCCTCGCTGCCCCTGCGGACGATTCTGCTTCGTCGGTGCAGCGTAACTTGCCTGCGGAAGGAGCTCTGTGGGCTGCTCTGCCTCCTGCATAGCCTCATCTTGAAGAATGTAGCTGGTGATTGAATCCTCGTCGAGTGACTCCCGCGTGCCGGGCACCATCATCATCCTCTTCATGAGGTTGTAGCTACACGGCAGGCCCTTGACGACGTGGGTGATGTAGGACGCCGTAGAGTATTCGGCGCCCGCCATCCGCATTTCGGCCAGTATCCGTCGAGCACGGTTGCAGTAGTCCGTCGCCGACTCCTGCTCACCCATCCAAAGATGTGTCACCTTCTCCTCCAGCTGTCCGATGTACAGGTCGTCCTTCGCCTGATACGTCGACAGGATGAAGTGCCATGCTTGGTGACCAGCATCCAGACGCTCTCGACAGCTCCTGAGCGCAAGCTGCACCACCGGCGAGCAGCACCTCGAGATGACCATGAAGGTGAGCAAGTGAGCAGCACGAAACTCCCCGCGCAGCTCGACATCGTCCTCGTGCGGAATTGGCACAGTACCGTCGGCAAAGCCCTTCAGCCCGGCGACTTCCAGCTGAGGTTCTATCGACTCCCTCCAAGTGATGAGGTCCCGTCGACCTTGCAGAGGTGCGACGGTGATCTTGTCCGGCGAAAACTTGAAGTAGCCATACGCCAGCGCGATCCCGCCCGCTGTCACGTGCGTCGTCGACGAGGGACTTCCATTGCTTCGTTGAGGTGCCATCGACCGCTGCACTCGCGCTTGACTCCCGCCAACACCACCGTCAACGGACCAAAGCACTCCAATCTACCTCGTGCCCGCGCTGCCACTGACTCGATCACCTCCGTCGACCACCTCGTCGACGCCGCCGTCGTTACGCACCGGTCGAGGAGAGGCGGACGCACCGTCCGCTCCAGGTTGCGGAGGGTGTTCTGCTGCCCACTTTGCACGGATCCCAAGGAGAACCACCTCCAAGGGGAGCACCGTCCCGAACTCGCCTTCTCCATGACGTCTCGTCGCATCAGCCAGACGTGCTTCTAAAGTATCCTCTACCCCGCCGGCCTCTGCCAGGGTAGGCACCATAGTTCGCACGGGCTGCCGGCCTACGAACGACTTAGGTAAGTGATAAGTCGGTACCTATCTGAAGGTCGCGTGTTCGATCCACGCTCACCGCACCATGCGGAGATTAACTCTACAACGGTGGGAGCTAGACTACAGGGTGGGCACTGGTTGTAGGAGTGATCATAGCTCTGTCTGTGTTCTCTATGACTTGTGTTTTCACAGGGCAAAACAGCAAGAGTTTCACTAAGGTAAAGTTGAGATTACAGAGTTCAGAATGAACAAGCAATGGAAAAGATTGACTACATCACATGCAAGGTTTGCTAGTGCTCAGGCAGGTCGACTGCCAGCGTGACAGAGTTGTCGACCTGCCAACGAAGCAAGTCTGCGGTTCGCCAACGCAGCTCGTACGCGACTTGCCAACGCTGCAGATGGCGGCCTGCCAACGCTGCACCCGCACGGCTTGCCAACGCAGCATCCGCAGGTGATTGTAAGCGCATGTGCAAGCACCTACTTCGCAGGTGCTTGTAGACAGTTATGCACGACGTGCACTGTCACACACATTGCGCAGGTTGTCAGCCACATGCTGACGGTTGCACATGATGAGCCACGTCGACCACGTGCTGCCACGTCGGTCGAATTCGCCACAGCAGCCTCGACGACGTTCGCACACCTTCGAGCACTCGTCGAGCAGGTAACTTGGTCAACCAGACGAAGTCCCTGACATCTCTGCAGGATGATGACCTTCGTCATCACCGGTTGACGACCTTCGTCGTCGCGGGTTGACGACCTTCGTCGTCGGTGCTCGACGACCATCGTCGAGCACCTTCGTTGAGCACCTCGGTTGACATTTCAAAATGTCAGCCCCTGATTGGTCGAAATTAGGGCACATTCGAATTTCTGGCCAAAATTCGCCTGTGCAGTCTCAAGGTTGCGCAGGGTCAGACGCGACCCTGCGCAGACGAACACCCGCGAACTTCTGCACGAGCTGCGCCACTTGTACATGCGCACGGGAAGTCTGAGTTGCACTCGCGGATGCTTCGATTACTCTTGCATGGATTCCCTAATACACCTCGTGTACAGGCAACCCTCGTACACCTGCAGACGGTCGGCTGCACCTCCCGCACACCCGACCATGAAGTCAGTTTTGCCCATGCGAGGGCGGGGCCAATTTCCTTCAACACCGACGAGCTTCGCGAGGCCCACGCGGGCTTGGCGTGGCCCGATTTCTCTCCATGCTAGGCATCGATTGAGCGGCGCCATCACTGGCTGCACCTGAGCGCTGTCCCACGCTGTCGTGTTGCGTCGGTGTGCCTGATGAGATGACGATCGGTTCTTCTGATTGTGCAGGTGCATTTGCGGGTACTTGTGATGGTGCTGGCGCATTCACCGTTGATTGCTGGCGGGCGGAGTCACGTTCCGCCGTGAGTGTCGCGATTTCGAGCGCCGAGTCTTCGAGTTGGCGCACGAGACGGTCGAGTTGCTCCTGCGTTAATGTCGCAAGAGTAATTTCGGCCATGGCGGGGGTGTCGGGCAAGCTCAGCGAGAGCCTCTGTCGTGGCCGTGCGTGCTTACGAGAGAGCACTTCGAGCGGCGGTGCTTGTTCGCTGAGAGACGTCTACCCCCCCCAAAAATTGAGATAATGGGGAAGCGAAGGTGTGGGCGCGGTCCGAGAGGAGATCGTAGGCTCTGAATACCAAGTGTTACGAGTGCAATTGAACGAGCGAGTGCGAATTGCACTATCGAGGCAATCAATACAGTTGAGCGAAAAGCATGAGCGAAGTTATATAGCGAAGCTAGCGTGGTAACGGTAATGCGGGAAATTGGGGTGCGCTACGGGCCTAGCGCCGAGGTTGGGAATTGTCGAGGCGGAGGTCCGGAGCGCGGGTTACCAACCGAACCTTGAGGTTGGGTCGCATCGTAAACAGTGGCGGGAGTCGTGGTCGAGGCGAATGTCGCGAGCGGGTAACGTTCACGGATGGGTGCCGACGGCGGGAACGGGCATGTACGCAGTAAGCAGGGACGCGAAGTAAGGAAAAGGGATTTTCCTTACAGAGTGTTACAAAGAATCACCCGTTAAAACAGCCACTCCCCCCTGGATTGGCTTATAAGTTATATGCTTATAAGGGAAGTCGTAGTTTTGGGAATATAATTAGTTCTAATGCTCACTTTGGGTATATTGAAACTAATCTTTTTTATTTTCATGAATGTCTATAAGTGTTTCTTCTCTAATTCGTCTATAAGTATGTATGAAGATGTTACAAGGAGCTACACTTCGTAACAATTATGTCCGGTCGTGTTGGCATGGATGCTGTACGCTGTCCGACAACCTCAGTGGATAAGCTGTTCCCATAACCACGTCACAAGCCCCCATCCAGCTGGCACCTTTGAAATCCCGCCAAAACCTCGATAATGAGTATTTTACGCGCCAATTTTTGAGCATTTGAATTGTTGAACTTGCGGGTTTGGTTGAGCTTGTGGGGTGGGGGCACAGGTGATGATGATGGTTGCGGGCAGCAATGCCAAGCATGGAAGTTGGTGGTGGGTGAACAAACAAAACCCCAAAAGTCGGGCTGCGAGATTTCTTTCATGTGGCAGGTGACGGTACCCTGGGTCAAAAAAGCTGCCCGGATGCGCAGCAATCGCCCCAATTACGGGGTCATGCAGCATCCATCACCATGACCATCATCCACCATCACCATCATTCCACATCATAACCTGCCCGCGCATCGTTCTCAAACATTTTCCTTGGCTTGCCGTTGGGTTCATCATCATCATCAATCTCACGATTCCTCCACGCACCCCTCGTTGACATCCCACCCCATGAAATTGCCAGCCCATCCCAACCCAATTACCCCACTCAATCCCATTACAATCTACAAAATCCCATCTCACCGTCTCCAATCCCAATACCATACCATGCCATCTTATCCATGCCATCACCTCGTTGACATTTTTCTCGTTTTCGTACGTCCATCAGCCCCATCCTGTCATCGCCATCACGAGTCCTCCTCGCTGCTTTTGCCTGTTGAGCGGCTGGGCCGCTGGGCTTCCTTCTGTCCCAACCTCGTGGAAGCAGGAGCTCAGCCGAGAGAGTCGTCATCACTCGGAATTGGGGTTTCTTACCGCCGCGCCATGCCTGCGCCTCCTGCCTCTGTCCCCTCACCTCCCTGCTTCCGTTCCATCCCACCGCACTGACTGACCTCACTGCCCTGCCCGCACCTGACCCTGTCACCGTCCATCTCCGTGCTAATCAAGCCAGCCTCCCTCCCCTCCCACTTCTTCGTTCACCTCATTTCTGGTGATTTTTTTCGCGATCAAGTTAGCTCTTCGCGAGTTCTTTCCGTTGTAGCTAGATCCCTCCCATGTGTAGTTCGTCAGATCAACCACGTCTGTAATTACGTTGATTCATCTGGTATATCGTTGAATTTTGACGCTTTCTCTCTAGACATCATATTTTTAGGAAGCCATGTCTCAGCTGGTCGAAGCGACCACGCGCTGCTGCTGCTTCCACCGATGTGGTCGCACATCGGTGCGGCCGACGCGCATAACAGAGAGCAGCTGCACCTGCGCGCCTTGCAACTGGATGACCGAAAGGAAGGCGAACGACGGGTTGCCCTCATGCGACAGCAGCAGCAAGTTCAAGGCGACATGGAGAAATTCGGCGCCACAGCCATCGCAACCGGACCTCCTGGTAGCGCCGGCAAATCCAAGTCACGCGGCTCGTCAGGCCCGCGTTTCGCGTGCCGTTGCTCCCAGTGCACTTCCCGCTATGGCAGCCCCGGCCGCTTGCTGTGCGAGACCGCATGGCGCGATCACTGGAAACGACGGGCGGCGGAAATAGTTCTTCAGCGCCGGTCGCGGAGGTTTCGGATCGCGAGTCGGGCGTCCAGGGCTGGTTCGGCCGGTCTAAGGGAGCCGTCGCCGGCTCGTTTTTGGCGACCGAAGGGGAAGAGGCCGACAGCGGCGGCCCGTTACCTGGCACGAGCTGCGACCACTGGGGTTCGGAAGCTAGAGTGGTTCGTTCCGACAGTGGCGCCGTTGTCGCGCATCATCATCTGCATCAACATCAGCAACAACATCAGCACCACCAACAACTGCGCCAACAACAGCACCAACCGCACCAACAACCACGCCAACCGCACCACGAACCGCACCAACAACAGCACCATCAACGAGCGGTTTTCCCCGGCGCGGAGCCTAACGCCGTCTGGACTCCGCCCAGTCATACTCGCGAGTTCCCCTGGCTGTCGGCGTCGCCTAAGGCTCCGCCCGCCGTGTTGGATTCGCCGTCCGCGCGGTGGGAGGGAGGGGGTGGCGCGGAGGAACGCGTGGGGTACGGCGCATGGCGGAAACGGGGGACGGAGGCGGTGGCGGTAAGAAGCGGAGACGCGCTACCCGGGGAGCATTTCGAGGCGCGCAGGCTTCAATTCTCCGACGATGCGGCGGCGGCGGCTTCGGGGGTTGGGCTGCTGGGAGATCTTGGAGATCTCGAGGCTTCTAAGGACGGCTCGCCTACTAAGAGGGCGAGGGCTGGTCTAACCAGTCCGCTAGCCGCCTCCGCGACTGGTGAAGCAGCTGCGGCGGCGGCGGCTGTAACGGCGGCGGCGGCGGCTGTAACGGCGGCGGCGGCGGCGGTGTTCAGAGGTTATCAGGCTCCGAGCTGCCACGTGGCGGACAAGCTACAGCAGCTGCGGTGTTTTGACAATCGCGCGCAAGGGCGACAGGGAACTGCGGCGCTCGATGCGGTGGAAGCCATGCTCGTGCATGCTCGCGCCGCGCTCGGTGCAGCGGCTGCGACGGGCGGCGCGGCAGGGACGAACAACACCAACTCGCTTCAAGGCGGCATGCCGGGCACACCGCGGGCTGGCCGGCCGTTACCATCTGTCGACGCAGACGAGTGCTTTGCCGGCCGTCTCGACGACGCGTTTCAGCGGCAGCAGCACCAGCAGACGGCCGCGGCGCTTTCTCACGGTATGCTGAGACTCCTTTTTGACGACGGTACGCTGGCCGCTTCTGCTGCTGTTAACGCCAGAGCCATGGCCGCCGCCGCCGCCGCCGCTGCCGCTGCTGCGACTGCGACTGCTGGGAGGGGAGGGCCTGGGGGAGGGTTAGGTCAGGTGATGGTGGGGGGAATGGGTCCCGCTTCTCCTGCGCTAAGTGAGTCAGGGCGCGGGGATTACCGCGCCACACGGGCAGGCCTTTTTGGTAACCTCTATGGTGGTTACATTCAGTGAAGGTGTGTATTGTATAGCGTAAGCGTGCTCTTCGAAGCATGCTAGCTGATTCATGCATGCATAGGATACAACTGTTGTGCAGGGTTCCTATTTCTTTTTGGTAACCCGTCTGGGTGGCTTGTAGTGTCCGGATCCAAGCAGGGTTCCTATTTCTATTTTATTGTGCCTATTCTCTTTCATCTTTTTGCATATGGTGAACCCGTTTTTGCAGACTTTATTTGGCTCGTCGTTATTAGGAATTGCAAGTGGTTCATTGTGGTAGGACTCTCTCACTAAATTAAATTAAAAAAACAGATGAGCTAACTAAGGTGAGGGGAGAAGTATAGTGATTATTGTTTTCTGATTCAAACAGCTCATTAATAGAAACCGAAAAAGCGGCCAAACAGCAGGCAGATGGGGAGATGTGAAAGATTCACCAGGAACTACCGGTAGTAAGAAAAAATAACTGCTGTTTGTCACTTGTACATAAGGCTACCTACCTACAAAGAGCAAAAAGGTGCTCAGCTCTCCCCAGCACACAAGCAGTGCACATACAGGCAAGGAGTTTTCATACCTTGCAACTCCCTGAGAGGGCAGCAGCAGCAGCAGCAGCAGTGGCAGCCTGGCAGGAGGAGAGATTAGTGCTCGTTCTTGGGTGTGGACGGGAGTGGAGTGGAGTAGAGGCATCATTCATTGCCCCGGTTGCAGTTGCGGTTGCAGTTGCGGCTGCAGTTGCGGTTGCGGTTGTGGCTTCTGGTGATCTTTGAGAGCCACAATGACAAGGTTGCGAGGCGACGTCTCCGGCTGGAACAGAGCCACAACACCAAACCGAAACCCACGGCTCTCCGTACCGCCCACCTGCTGTTTCACCTGCACTTTCACCTGATGCTTCAGCTGCTCCCCCACCTCCTCCTCCTCCTCCCTCACATGCTTCTCAACCTCTCCCTCCTCCGCCCCACTTCCCTTCCCCTCAACCATCAACCGTCCCCCCATTTCCTGCAGCCACAGCAGCCGATCGGCTACAAGCAGCGACTCCAGCGGCCCTGCCAGCACGGCACGCAGGCACCAGAAGGCGCGCACGAGGGGGGCGTGAGGAGCGACCTCGCCCCACACACTGGCGATGAGGGCCGGCGATGGGGCTGGGGAGATGCGCAACTTGACGCACGCTGAGAGGACGTAGGAGGAGAAGGCTGTGAGGTGGTGCTGGTGGGAGAGAGGAGGGGACAGAGGAGTGGAGGGAGGAGGGAAGGGTGGAGCGGAGGGAGGAGCGGTGGGCCGGGAAGTGGGAGAGGACTGTGGCACGCAGGAGGAGTTTGGGTCAGTGTGTGCTGTTGTGTGCTGATCCTGACTCTCATCCTGCACTGTCTCTGATGTCTCTCTGCATGCGCCGCTGCTGGAAGTGCATGGGCTGGCAGAGACAGCACACGTGGCAGCATCAGGTGAAGCAGCAGAGGCAGAAGCAGCAGCAGCGGCAGAGGCAGCATTGACTGCAGCGGTCACTCTTCTCCTCCTCGTTGCCTTCCCTAGCCGACCCACTCGTATCCCACTAACCCCTCTCTCCTCACTTCCTCCTCCAACCCCTTCCAGCCCCTCTTTACTTCCACCATCCATATCCAAGGAACCTGCATCCTCATCATCTACCTCACCAGGAACTTTGTCCTTATCTGCGCGATGCCGCCCGATCAGCACCTCCAGTGCCGCCCGGAAGGCATGCACCTCGAAGTTTCCCTCTGCCTCTTCAGGAGGGGTTACCCTCCACCTGTCCGCACTCTGGCACGCCAGGTCACGGCCGTTGCGGCCAATGAGAGGCTGACAGGTGTGCCGATCAGAGGCGGTGTGTTCAGTTGAGAGTGGAAATGCGCGAACATAGGAGGAGCAGGGGAAGCCAAACGGAGGCAGGACAACGGCCGGAGGAGCAGGAGAAGGAGCAGGAGCAGGAGCAGGAGCAGGAGCAGGATTAGGAGCAGGAGCAGGAGAAAGCGAAGTAAGAGCAGGAGGAGGAGAAGCAGCATCAGCAGCAGCATGAACAGGAGAAAGACGAGTAGAGGGAGGCTCAGAATCCCGGGACTGCAGTGGCTGTAGCAGAGGGGTGTGGGCAGCAGCAGGGAGCGAATGCGAATGCGGATGAGGAGGGGGACTAGCAGGTGTGGGAGGAGAGGAAAAGGCATGCTTTTCCTCCCCAGCACCACCAGCCTCCCCTTGCTCCGACAGCAGGTTGTAGCAGCACCCCACCATGGCCATGGCTCTGACCTCCGGCTGTAGCACAAAGGCTCGCAGTGCGCTCACTGTCAGGTCGCCACATGCATGCAGCCCTGCCAGCACGCCCCGCACGCTGCAGCCGCAGCTGTCGCCATGCGCCTCTGTGCCTTCTCTTTCCATCCCGTCAGTTCTCATGCCGTTGCTTTCCGTGCTGTTTCCTACCATGCCACTCACTGCATCTGCATCCGCATCGCTCTCCTCCCTGCTTCTTGCCTTGCTCGCCTCTCTTTCTCCAGTTCTATCCTCCCTCTCCTCCTCCTCGTCCTTCCCTTTTCCCCCGTTTCCCTCCTCTCCTTTACCCTCCTCCACGCATGCTTCCTCCCCCATCCTCTCCCCACCGCCTCTCAACAGTGCACCAATCGTGGCAGCTGCCGAGCCAAGAGTTATGGTTCGGGTCACTAGCCTCGGATTCAGCACCAAACCCGTACCTGCTTCTGCTCCAGGTTCGGAAGCACAGGGCCGGGAACCCCCTGCTATTGCACCAGCACCAACAGCTGGTTCTGCTACCCCCTTCTCCTCCTCCTTTTCCTCCTCCCTTAATCCAGTGCCCTCATCCCCTTTCCTCCATTCGCCCTCTTTCCCCTCCTTCTTCTTCCCCTTCCCCCTTTTCCCCTGCCTCCCCTCTTTCCCGCAAGCCTTGCTGGCACGCGCCGCGCGCGTGTGCAACACACTCGTGTGGTGGTGCGACGCGTCCACTGCCACAACGGGCAGCCCGAAATGGAAAGAAAGGATCTGAGACAAATATCCCTGCCCGGCGCCTAGATCAACCACCGTTACAGTGCCATGATTCGATTCTGTCACATTGCCGCCCCTTAATGAACAGTACCCATCAGAGCCATGGGAACAGTGATTACTGTAGCTGGATAAACAGTGAATGTGGGAGGGCCTGTGGGCGGCAGTGTGCTGCGCGGCAGCTACTACAAGCGACGACAGCCGTTCAATCTCGTGGAGCTTCTTCGGATTCATGCCACGTGTCAGCTCACGAGAAACTGACGAGAGCCAGGGTTCAGGGTTCAGAAAAGTGCACTGCTGACGTGTCGTTGCAACCGTCTCAGCCAGTCTGCTGGTGCCACGAGTCACCTTTTTAACTCCTTTTTCTCCTCGCAACTCAACTGTCATCCTCCCTTCCTGTTCCCCTGTGCCTCTCATTGTCGCCATATCTCTCCTAAGAGAAAGCTTCCGTGCATTCTTGATGAAGTCAACGAGATCTTCCGGCCAATCAGGACCAGCCACGTGGCCGGACGGAACGAGTAGCAGCTCTGACACGTGGCAGGACGACAGTGCGTCCAGCCATCGTGGATCAACGCGTTCCCACAGCCGCTGATCGAAAAAGCTGACGAGATGCGCGTTCCACAGCCATTGCCACGGCTGCAGAAACGACAAAAGTGCCGCCACGTACGCTTGCAGGCCGCCGCCGCCTCCACGAAAGAACTGAGCCGGTAAACAGCTGGCAGTAGCGTGCGCGAGTAGCGACTCGAGGTCAAGCTGACTCTTGTCCATCGAAAGGATATCTGACTGGCAGGGGTGGAGGAAATGAGACTCGGGGGAATAGGCCCGCCTGAATCGATGCGGAAAGGGGTTGGGCCTTCGCCATGCCTGGCGGGTAAACAGGCGATGAGATAGCTCAAGTTATTTTGCTGGTAGTGTAATCGAATGTCAATAGGACATCTCCGTTGTAGTCTAGTCGGTTAGGATACTCGGCTCTCACCCGAGAGACCCGGGTTCAAGTCCCGGCAACGGAATTTTGCCTTTTGCTTCTCTTCCACTTTTTGGCTCCCAGATTTTCAGTGGTTGGTTTCCCTAGGCAGGTGGTCTGAGAGAGAGAGAGTGTAGTATACATTTGGGAGAGAGAGTGCCAAAAGTTTATAAATGGTACATGGTGGGGGCGAAATTGTGGGGCACATTGTAAAACCCTGAACCCCGCTGTCAAATGTATACTGCCGCTTTAAAGCCGGCGGCCCAAATTGTTCATGCTTTTAAAAGTTGACCAGAGGGAGTTTTCTGGTGTAGGCTTTGGCGAGAGTTCGCAATTTCGTCTAAGTTCGTTTTTTTCGCGAGACCCAGCCAACCCTCGGTTTTCCCCCTGGTGAGTGAATCTGTCTTCGAAAGTCCCAAATTGCAGGTGCGTGACTTTCAAAAGCTTGGACACTCAACTTCGTCAAGTTTTAAAAACTTGACCCTCGCGGTCCGCAATTTGGGACGCGGGCTTTAAAGAATCAACCCTTGTGCATCCTGCTCCCAAAGAGAGGTTGAATGCAGTTGCATTGCTTAACAATATTACTAAACATGGGTATGTGTATGCTTGCAATCCGCGGCACCTCTCTAAGCAGACTTGGCCATCATAACATGCTACCGTACCTTCTACTTGGCCCGTAATTGTTGCTCGAGCAGAGGTCGTAATTCTGTGTGCTTTGCGATTGTAGTGAAGAGATCTGCAGCAATGACGCGCACATCCTGGTCATTTGACCTGTGGGCGGGAAAAACAGCGAAGTGTCTAGGTATCTGTGCAAAAGAGCAGTGGTATAGGAGTGATGAGTGGTGGAGAGCGGTGACGAGTAACAAACAGACTGGCGGACAGAGGAAACGCTTGACTGGTGGAAGGTTGGTGCCAAGTGAAATGAAATCAAATACTTCATTACTGTATACATCCACCGAAAGCTACTGCAGTACTGGAGATGGCGAGCAAGTTACACCGAGAAAGAGCTCCTTCTAACTAACACTCACTGAGCAAGAAGAAACCAAGGAGACACCCACATCCTTACTCCCAAAACGAGTGTTCTTTCGTCTACCTTCCCCAAGGTAAACGGGAGAGAGGAAGAGGGCGAAACCTTGAACCTGTGCGAATGTGAGTTCACCAAATGAGGGCTCTCGTGGCAGGAGCTGGTGAAATTGAAGGCACCTTTCGTTGATTCCAGGAGGGTTTTAAGGTCGGCTGAAAAGGCACCTGATGAAGGGAGAAGGGCTCACCTGGCAAAATCTGGCAGATAGACAGTGTGCCTCCAATGTTGTGAGGCAGCTTTAGAGGCAGCTCCCAATCAAAGGGCAACTCAAGAGGGGGCGGGTTCGCCTGGCAAAGGCTGGAAGCGGGGGCGTAGTTGCGAGGCAGCCTCAGAGGTAGTCTGAAAAGGCACCTCTAGAGGGGAGCGGCTCACCTGGCAAGAGCTGGCAGAGAGGGGAGTGCGCCTTGGACAGATGCCAGGCGCGACGGCGCATCAGGGCTGCCGTGGGAGTCGATGCAGTGTGTGACAAACCAGGAGGGAGAGGGGGGAGTTATGAGAGTGCGGCGGTTGGGTTGGACGAGTGAGGCGAGAGGGGGGAGTGAGTGAGGAGAAAGAGGAGAGTGAGAGAGAGGAGAGCGAACACTGGTTGTGGGGCTAGTTTGTTTTGACGTGGCACGACCGTGAGTTACAGGGACCCGGGGATGAGCGCGTGTGAGTGTGGCGAATGTGCCTTAGCAGCAGCAGCAGCAGTAGCAGGAGTAGCAGCAGCAGCGGCGGCGGCGGCGGTGGAGGCAGCAGTACGTGCAGGGTACCTGGCAGGTAGCAGCACGCCGATGGCAATGAGAGCTCGCACGTGCACTTCCGAGGAGTGTGGCGCGGGCAGCAGTGCTGCTACCGGCTCCAATGCACCCTGCACGGACGAGTGCAGTGCAGAGGGGACCAGGAAGCGAGGGGAGCGGGAAGAGGGCAAGAGGAGAGGGACGCGGTGGGGGTTATGTATGGTGGAGTATGGTAGGGAGTGGTAAAAGATGCTGGTGGACACGAATGCTTCTTTGAGGAGTTGACAGAGGGATCCATCACAAGATAGACGGAAACGTGGGGCGTTGGGACATGGGTGATGGGACATGTCATATGAACCTTGTTGTAGGGGTGAAAAAAACACGGTTCCAAGAGAAAGAGGAGGGAAACGAATGTCGGGGAGAACAAGGGAAGGGTAAGCGGGACGGCGACAAGAACAGGAGACAAGGGAAGGAGATACGAAGTGAGGGATAAGCAGGAGGAGGGAGAGGATGCGAGTGAGTGAGTGAGTGGGTGACCTTGGCGACAAGTAGAGCTGCTGCTTCTTTGGAGGAGGATGCTATGGCACACATGGCATCCACCACTGCCTCCCTGCTCTGATCTGCCATGGCATGGAGGGCCATGGGGAGGGATGGGGGCAGGAGGTGGGGTGAAGGAAGGGAATTGGATGATGAAGCGGGATGGCATGGCATGGCATGGCACGGCATGGCGTGGGATGGTATGGCATGGGATGGTATGGCATGGGATGGTATGGCATGGGATGGCGTAGCTGACCGGTGTTGTCAGTCGCTTGGAGAGCAGTTGCAAGCGCCTCCTGACCCGCACTTGATGTGATGACACTCACTCCCTCCACACTGATACACACACACACACACACACACACACACACACACACACACACACACACACACACACACACACACATACACGCACACACGCACACGCAGACGTGCACACATGGCGCCAGACATGTGCATGGATACATGCACGCACACGTGCACCGACACAAGCACAGATAACATGTGGACAGGCACAGAAGCACACACATGCACATGCCGTCAAAAAACATATGGATATTCACATGCCTGGAATGACATGCAGTGCAGACATGACAAGCGAACCAGCCCAAACCTTTTTAAACGCTTATAGAATTACCAACAAGCATTCTCAACAATAGTTTTCCCAATTCCCCTGCTTGCTTCATTTCTTCACTCAGTGACACGCCCTACTCACCCATTCACGAACTCCCTTCCTCCCGCCCTCGCTCCTTCACGGACACGCCCTACTCACCCACGCACTCACTCTAGGGCGAGGTTGGAGAGGAAGGCAGCAGCGTTGATGCGCAACCCCACCTCCTCCTTCAGTGCTCCCACCACCAACGGTCCCTGCACACACAACCCACGGAGCATGAGCGTGGGGGAGGTGAGGAGAGAGAGCGGGGAGGAGAGGGAGGAGGAGGAGGTGGGGTGGGGGGAGTTGAGTCTACTCAACTTTCTTCAAGGGATGACAGAGCGGTGATAGCCGGGAGAAGGTGCTAGGAGGAGTGGGAAGGAGTGAGGAGATCAGATTGCAGATTGGATCAGATCAGATCGGATCAGATCAGATCGGATCAGAATAATTCAATGAAATCAGATTGTGTTGCATAGTATGGCGTGTGTTGTGTACATACAATGCCTGGCGTGTTGGCGACTGTGGAGTGCAGGTGCTGCGAGCGGGACATGAGGGCTGTGAGGGCCGCCAGAGCATTGCGCTGCAAGGAGGAGGGGGAGGGACACCGGGATAGGACGAAGGGGGTTGGGGAGCGGAGAGGGAGAGGGGAGAGCGGAGAGGGGAGATTGGAGAGGGGAGAGGGTTGTTGGGAGAAGAGAGGTTAGACGGAAGAGGAAAGCGGGGAGGGTGAGAGGGTGGATACAGGAACCAGAGCGGCGAAGAAACGGGTAGATGGGATGGAGGTGCAAAGGTGGGTAAGGTAGTGAGGAGGAAACAGGCAGATGTGACTTGTTACCAACAGGATGGAAGCAGCGTGAGGTGCTAGTGGGGGGTGGGGGGGTCGGGGGGTGGGGGGAGCGGGGGAGTGGGGGGTTGGGGGGGGAGGTGACATACACATTCACGCAAACTGCTTTTACGCGCGCGCGCGCGCCTGGGGGGGCGCACACACACACACAGACACCCATACCCACCCGCACGTGCATGTCTGATGACGATGTGAGGAGGCTGATGAGAGGCGGAACCTGTGGCGGTGAAGGGGACAGGGGGCATACGGCAGGGACAGGAGGGCGAAATGAGAGGAGGAGAGGAGAGGAACGGAGAGGAGATGAGAGGATACGAGGAAACGAAGACGGATGGTTGAGGGATGGGAGGAAGAAAGGGTGGGAGGAGAGATGGAGAAGGAAGGAGCGATGTTGGGGGTTCAAACAAGTGGGCAAGAAGCAGAGTGTAATCTGGATGGCGTTGTGGCAGTGTGCAACAAACCATGCTTGTTGCAAGCAGTGACATGCAAACAGGGAGAACCAACACCCAAGCCCCTGCACGAATGCATCTGCATTCCTGTGACTCTGCCTTCCGCCTTCCCTGCTTCCCTGCTTCCCTGCCTCCCTGCCTCATTCCCTCCCTGACTCCCTAACGCTCTGCGTGCATGTGTTTATACGTGAGGGGCGCACCGCAGAGGGCAGCAGCAGCAGCGCTTGGTCCCTTGTTGCCAGGAGCATCACCGCCGCTGCTGCCGCCGCTACTCTGCCTGCATCCTGACCCAATTGCACCCACCCACCCCCCACGCACACACGCAAGCAGGCAAGCCGGCACGCAGACAGAACAAGCAGGCAGAGCGAGAAGGCAGGGAGGGAAAGAGGGAGGAGGCAGGCAGGCAGGGCGACAGGAGGAGCATGAGCAACGGCACATGGGACGTGAGAGCACGAGGCCGACGGGGAAGGTGGACACAGAGAATTGGAGAGAGGGGAGGGGAGACAAGGGACGGGAGAGAGGAATGCGGATAGAGGAGCAGGTAAACAGGGAGGGGAACGAGGGAGGGGAGAGAGAGGAAAAGAAGGAGAGAGAGGGAAAACAATACGGCAAGGAAGAGACGGGAGAAGAGGAAGCGTAGGTGGTAAGCACCTGGTCTTGTTTTGTGGCATCTCTTAGTAAAAATTGTACCTCCCAGGATGTGGTGTACCTGGTCTTGAAGAAGCTGAACTTGCTCTTTAAACTCCTTTGCCACGTCAGCAGCTGGCGGAAACACGGGTGAAGTGGCAGAGGGAAAAAAGGCAGGCACTATGAAAGGAGAGGAAGAATATCAGTGATGGCATTCCGTACAATGGACTGCCATCCGAACGTTATCTTCACCCTCTCTCCGCTTCTCGCTCTCTACGCCATTCTCGCTCTATGCTTCCCCTACGCTTCTCTTGCTACCCTCTCTCCGCTTCTCCCTCCCTAGCCTTTCCTTGCTAACAATTGAGTCTGAACAGGTCACAGACAACGAAGCAGCGAGCAATCTTTTGAGTCGACTCAAAAGTCACCTCGCTACGCTTCTCTTGCTACTCCGCTCTCTCCCTCTTTAGCCTTTCCTTGCTAACATCTGCGTTTGAACAGCTTGCCGAAAACGAAGCAGCGAGCCATCCAGCTCCGCGGGGCTTCGACACGAGGATTACTCGATATTAACGGAGGCTGACTTGAGGCGCTTCGACACGCTGCTCACCCGATACCATAGGAGGCTCAGCGGCTTGCGACGAGGGCGTGGCGGCGGCCATTGCAGGCGACAAGCTGAAGCGCGATGCAGGGTTCGCGGAATGGTCTAATGTGCTCGTGAACGATCAATGCAGTGTCTGGTGCTGCAACTTCAGCTTTGAGCATCTGAAGAACTTGCTCGAAGCGAAGCCAACCCGAAACGATCAACCTGAGCTATCCGGCCAGAACTGTCACATAACGGGTTTAAAGAATTATGTGCTACACCTCAAGCGTTTAGTCTCGCGAGCATGTTATATAACTTCATTCCATGAGCTGTACAAATGCTTCACCTACCAATACAACCCTTTGGCACAAGCCTATCCAACAATCTATGCATTTCCCCTCACTGATGCCGTGAGTGTTTATTTCAGAATGGATCAAACATTGAATGCCTGCCACTAACTACAATCACATACTCGAACCACCTTCGTCAGTAACAAGCTAGTGCTAGGGCTACACTAGGTGCTAGCGCCAGCTAAGGGCAATTCAACCTACAAGCATCACACCTCTAACATCCACCCATTCACAACACTCTCTTCCCTCACCACCAATTCCCTCCCCTTTTCCAGTCTGCATATCCTTAGGGGAGGCCTCTAAGTGGTGGTGACAGGTTGTCCTTTAACCGAGGCCCGGTGGGGTATAGAAAAGCCATGTGGATTTACTAAAAAACTCTGGGCTGACCAACTCCACAACAGCTGTCTACGCTCCAGAAAATTACACTCCCTTCAACGAAGCACCAACGGTTGTATTAACGGCAGCCCCGTGCAGCAGTCCCTTACGCATTTCCGTTTTCCGCGTATCACCTGTTGTGCTTGCCCAGTGTGCCCTTGCTGCTGCCGCACGCGGTGGTGCATGCGTTATTGGAGATCGTGGAGCCCGTTTCAAGCACCAACGAGTCCTTCTGCAGGTTGCACGCTGTCACCGAGCTTGAGCTGCTCGCCAGAAACACGCTCCCCTGCTCTCGTACGCGAACACACACGCACGGCGCCAGATAAACAAAACCAAGGCACGTCGACATGGGCGCAGGGGAGGACAGAGGAGCAGGGAGCAGGTCAGACGAAAGACGGAGCGAGTCGGACCAACAGGGGAAAAGGATAATCTGGTGGGAAGGAGCGGGTCGGACGATTAGCAACGCGAGTGCAAAAGATGAGAAATGAGGATAACGTAGGCATTTGTCAACGGACGGACAGGTAGCAGCTACGTGGCGGGAAAGGGAGGGCCGGAAGAGGGAGCGTACGGGCATCGAGGCGTTGTTGTTGTAGTAGCTGGCCTGGCAGAGGGTGAGACTCGAGTCGAACGCGTGTACTGCACTGCCCACCTGCAGAGAGAGAGAGAGAGAGAGAGAGAGAGAGAGAGAGAGAGAGAGAGAGAGAGAGAGAGAGAGAGAGAGAGAGGGAGAGGGAGAGGGAGAGGGAGAGGGAGAGGGAGAGGGAGAGGGAGAGGGAGAGGGAGAGGGAGAGGGAGAGGGAGAGGGAGAGGGAGGGGGAGAGAGGGAGAGGGAGAGGGAGAGGGAGAGGGAGAGGGAGAGGGAGAGGGAGAGGGAGAGGGAGAGGGAGAGGGAGAGGGAGAGGGAGAGGGAGAGGGAGAGAGAGGGAGAGGGAGAGGGAGAGGGAGAGGGAGAGAGAGAGGGAGAGGGAGAGGGAGAGGGAGAGAGAGAGAGAGAGAGAGAGAGAGAGAGAGAGAGAGAGAGAGAGAGAGGGAGAGGGAGAGGGAGAGGGAGAGGGAGAGGGAGAGAGAGGAGAGAGAGAGAGAGGATAGAGAGAGAGAGGATAGAGAGAGAGAGAGAGAGGGAGAGGGAGAGGGAGAGGGAGAGGGAGAGGGAGAGGGAGAGGGAGAGAGAGAGAGAGAGGGAGAGAGAGAGAGAGAGAGGGAGAGGGAGAGGGAGAGGGAGAGGGAGAGGGAGAGGGAGAGGGAGAGGGAGAGAGAGGAGAGAGAGAGAGAGGATAGAGAGAGAGAGGATAGAGAGAGAGGAGAGGGAGAGGGGAGAGAGAGAGAGAGGGAGGGGAGAGAGAGTGTGAGAGAGAGGGGTGAGGGAGGCAAGTGGGAGAGATGGTGGAAGCTTGGGATAAGCGCGAGATCTACGTGAGAGGGAAACACTACAGGGCAGACCACGAGCGAACAAACGACCGCGACGCACGCAGCTCAACCCAAGTCAACGCAAGTCAACACAGCGCGACGTACCGCGGCGCTGTTGGCGTTGAACTTGGAGCGGTGCAGGTTGACCGTCGCCTTCATGATCGCGCTCACCGCGCCGCCCGCGGTCGACGCCATGTTGCGGTGAAACACGTTCGCGTCCGCCGTCATCTCCGCGCCCTTAGCCAGCGACACGGCGCCGCCGAACCCCGCGAAGTTGCGGATGAAGTGGCAGCGGTGGCAGTGCAGCGCTCCGCCCTCGTCCACCTCCACTGCGCCGCCCGCCGTCGTCTGCGCGGAGGGGTGGAACGTGGGAAAGGGGGAAGAAAGGCGAAGGGGGAAGGGGGATGGGGGAAAGAGCGGGGCAGATGGAGGAACGAGTGGAGGGTTAGGCGAGGAAAAGAGTTGGTAGCACGAACAGGGGCATCTTCCGCGTCGGTAGAAGTAGCCTCTCGCAGAGGGAGAGTAGAGTAGAGTAGAATGGACGTAAGGGAGTCATTAGGCCCGAAATGGATGGACTGCGAGCATCCTTTTCCTCTGCAGCAGAAGCTTTATCAGCGTTATCCCTCACTCCGCGTTTCAACTCCATACGCGATAAACGCCGCAGACTGATACCACAGCCGGCGCACCGGTCCACACGCAACAGACTCGATTCGCGTTGAAAACCGATCGGAAGCACACAAGCCGAAATAACCAAACACCCACGTCTGCCCCTCCATTTCCCCCCGCCCTCCCCCTTCCGAACCAACACAAACAGCAACACCAGCACACCAATGCAACCCCCGTCACACGCACGCCTCCAACACCCCGTCCCACATCTCCTCCGCCGCGTACCACGCCGTAGAGCCCGTTGAAGCGGAAAAAGACGCTGTCGAGCTGCGCCTGGCCGCCGTTCATGATCCAGATGGACCCGCCGCTGCCGGAGATGGGGCGCCCGCGGCTGAGCTGCAGATTCGAGATGACGAGCAGCCCCCCCTTCTCAACGACGAAGTGGCGACTGCGGCGACGCGCGTCTATGCGACACATGCCCAACTGCGACGCGGAGGAGGGGGAGGGTACGGGAGGATGGGGTATTGTGAGGGAGTTTGGAATGAGAAGTTGTGACCGGGAGAAAGGAAGAATGTAACCGAATGCAGGAAACGGAAGGGAGGTGGAGGGGGGAGAGGGGCTCGGCGATAGGTGGATTAAGCGGGGCGGTAGCGGCGTGAGAGCAATGGAGCAGCAGATGTGCGAGGAAACTCGTGTACGGAGAGTCAGCGGAGTAGTGCGGAAGGAGCGGAGACGAAAGGAAACGCTAGAAAAAAATTAGAGTCAAATCGAGAAGCTCCTCATTCCCTCTCGGTCAACCTATACCACTCTCTCTTAGACTCTTCCTCTACAACCCACCCGCCTCTCTCCCCGCCCACTTTCCCGCCGCGTGCGCGCACCTCGGATTTCTTGCAGCGCGGGTGCCCGGTAATGTTAACGGTCCACGTGATGTTAGGCATGGGGCCCTTGAGGTAGAACGTATCAACGATCACGATCGGCCGGCGCTGGTTCAGCGCGCGGATCAGCTGCCCGTAGTTAGCCACCATTGCCGGAGACCACGGATCGGTATTTCCCTTCATAGTATTCCCCACGGCCACGCCCGCGCCTGCGCCATTCCCTTTCTTCCCCGCTTCCGCTGCTCCAGGTGGGGTTACGGGCACCGCTGCGCTGCCTTTGCCCGGCGTGGGAATACCGACCCTCGGCTCCGGCGCAAGAGCGGGTGGCGCGGCGGTAGGCACGTCAGTTGGAACGGGGACCTCCGCCGTAGAATTGGGTTGCGCGACAGCGGGTCGGAGGTGCAGCAGCGTGAGGAGGAGGAAGGTGGAGGAGAGTAAAAGCACTAGGTTATGATTGCGTGGTATCGCCATTCCGTGCAGCTATTGAGATCTCGCAATCAGTATATGACTGGCGAATGCGCTACGAAGTACTGAAATGTCTAACAAGCTGTAGATACCGATATGCGCAGTGGTTTTTCGCAGCAGCGACACGCTTCGAGTGTGATTTAATAACTGGCTAGTCTAGTGGTTGGTTCCCACGTCAGTTTAGGTTCGTGCTAAGCGGTCTCACTTTATGACAGTGCTTTTCCACGTACAGTGTGTTGGTTCCGTACGGATTGGCTGCTCGTTGCATCAGAAGGGTGAAGGCGATAATGAGGGAGTTGGGAAATGCTCAGTGGCTAAGGAAGGATTCACCAGTGCCAACAACCCGTGAGAGCAAGGCGAGTAAAGCAAGAGTGAGAGGAGACAAAGGGCTGGGCGAAAACTGGACTAGGATCGGAGGAGCGCGAGGGTGGGGTTTGCGCTTTTGGCGGGTTGGCTGATAGGAAGTTGGTCCCAAACAAG